GTTAATAAAATGAATGTTGAACTCTGGTGTGAAGTTCTGGACATCTGTGTGTAAATATGTGAAATGGTAGACATGGTCTGTCAGGGTGAGCAGCTGCCACCACACTGGGCTTGCTCTTTGGTTCTGAATTGCTGTACTGCCTGACTGCTTATAGAGGAATGTTTTCCTGCTGTACACCTTTCACACTTTTCCTGAATTATGCTAATGAAAATTGCTTAAATCTATCTGTGATTCTTAAAGCGTGTTGGTTTTAAATGCTTAAATCTTGTGTTCAAATAGCAACTGAGAAGGATCCACAGTTTTTACCGAATCACCTGCTTCTCCCGCAGCTAGAGGGACGTGCAGCTCAGAGCTGCCTGTGCACATGCTGTCCCAGCTGCTGAAGTGGGACTGTGGCAAGCTACACACTCTGGTGCTGCATTGTGAGTATTCGCTGTTGTACAGGGCTGCATGTGATTATCACATACAGCTCAATTAGCAGTAATCACAGAGCTCTGCCTCTTCAACACTCACAGATGCTTTACTCTTAATAAGATGCCTAAGCTGTAGGAAATTATTTTGATTAGCCACATCATCTGTGCTGGAGCTGGTGTCCAGCCTTTGCAAGGACAAGGAATGAGACATACCATTGTGCTTGCTCACCTAATGAAGGACCTTTACTCAAATATGGTCAGTTTTTAAATAACATGTGGGGAAAGAGGCTTAGAATGTTTATCTAATTAACTTACACTGTGCTGCACCAGCCTCCTTCCCTTTCTGGCCTGGGTAACCACACAGACATACAGTGCTGACCAGTGTTGTTTTCAGTTACACATAATGCAAAGGAAATCTACTTTCACCACAGTAAAGAGATTTAATTCAGATGTTGGTTGCTGTCTTTGTTAGCTTTTAAATAAACAGACTATCTGAAGTGTGGTTTACTGTTTTATTAAGATATTGGTAAAACTTAAACAGTTTTTCTGTATAAACAGCTTTCATAAATAAAATATGGATGAATACATGGTTATAACTAAACTTGCATGTGAACTGTAGAACAAGATTGCAAATGGAAAAGTCCCAACACAGTTAAATGGTTAGCTTTAGTTTATTCACTTCATAAAGAACATGTTAGTTTAGTGAACAAGAAAATACAGAAAGGTCAACAGAAGCACCCAGTGCAGCCACTGCCAACATGCCTGGCTAGCCACACCAGTACTTGTGCAGGAGTAGATGTACTTGGGTGATCTCAGACACCTTCCCCTGTTCTTGTTCCAAGATGTTTTCTAGAGTGAAGGAGAGAAAAAACCTAACAAAATGCAACTGCCACATACAATAGTTGTACTAGACCCTAATAGGTGGGGTTTATTTTTTTCTTTAGCTTTAATGCTGGCAAGTATAGTGCGATCGCCTGATCAGCGAGGGCTGGAAAAGGATATGAACATTTAAGTCACAGATTGTGTTAATGCTTCATTATTAATTATTGCACATGATACAAGGGTAGAAAGTTTTGTTCGTGTTGGAAAGAGGGTATGAGTTAAAGAAAGATTGCCCTAAGTTACAGGCATGACAAAGCTGCAGTATCCCCTTGGATGGCTTTGTTTACATGACTAGTGCCGAGTGATTAATTTGTGCTAAAACAGCCCCTAATTTAGACCAATCTTTCTCATGATTTTTTGTTTTTTCCCGCAGAACATTGCCAGGGTCAGGAGCATTTAGTGAGGAGATAATGGACCTGAACTACAGCAGCCATGTCTATAAACACAGAACTGATTATGCCTCGTCTGCCCATAGGACAACACATTTCTCTGACACACAGTGTTCCAAAAACAAGAGCAGAGTTTCTGTGATGATGTACCACTAGGAACGTGGTGTAGGTTCAAGTCTGCTTTGACATTGTCCTTCAGCGTTACAATGCAATTCGAGTCAGATGCTGAATGGTTTTAACTTGCAAGGACAATTGATGGCACTTCTAGGTAAAGAAAAGTTATATACACATGTTTTCACCCACCTTTAGTGCAAATTGAAATGGGTTTACAGCTCCCTGGTCTGGTGCTATCCTGCTCTCTGCAGCGCAGACATCCCTCAGCCTTGCACATGTAAAAAGGGTACACAGGAAACTACCAGAGTGGGGATCGAGTGAATCCCGCTAGTACTCACAGTGAAGAGCTTACAAGCGAGGCTGGAGCAGCTTCAGACAAACAGCCTGGAGCCCCTTGCTCAAAACCAACACAATTAAAAAAAAAATAATAATGTTTTCACTACCTACCTCCTAGTTCTGCAAACACGGTTAACACGTAAACTGAAACTGATGCAGGTTGTGTTAACGCGGAAAAGGGATACTTCAGCTCTTTATTGGAAAGAATTGTTATACAAATTTCACCACCACTAAGATACACAATAAAAATACAAAACACAGGTCACAGACTGAATCTCAGTTTCAACAGTTAATAAATACAATTAGATACTTTTATATTAGCCTAATATTTTTACATTGTCACCAGATAGACAGTCAAAGTACGAGATACAGAACACTTAGATACCATTGGAGAGGGATTATTGCTTACGTTAGCAAGCAGCAAATAAGGGCACAGGATTTTGAACTGAAGAGAACTACTTCCTATCACCAGTGGCATTAAGAGAAAACACTGCATTTCACAAAGCACTGCTTTTTTTGTCTAGTGTGTAGAGTCAAGAGCAGCATATATCAGACCAATAACCACTACTTTTAATAGTATAGAACTTGAAAGGACTTACCTTACAAATGGTTCCTATCTACTCTATAAATATGCATTTAGTGAAGAAATGAACACTTGCTATCTATACAATGTTTTTACCTGACCACACTGGAACTATGATGGTAGATTTTTTTTTCCTGCTAGCAAGATAAATTATACGATTCGCAGAATTATCATTATGAATCCACACCTAAAAAGCAAGATCCTTCCCAAAACAGCACACATGCAGTCCAGTGCTCTTCAACTGCTCTTGCAGACTGAGAAGTTTATCATCCATCCTGGTTTTCATCCTAATTCAGTCACACAAAGAATTGCACTTGCACCACCTTTCTCTCTGAAGCAGAACACTCGGCTATAAGAAGGACTTTCAATGCATCATTATTACTGCAAATAACTGAAAACAAAGGCACCACAGAGGTGCCCCCGAGTTGCATATTTTACCATTTCATGGTTTTCTCAACTTTCCTCAGTAAATCTGACTTGGAACACACGCTGCAGCTAAAGAGAACGTTGACAACAGCTAAGGCTTAGTAAGATGACCAGTAAGAGCCAATGATCCTATAAGATTAAAAAAAAAAGAAAAAAAGTCTGAAGATCAAAGGAATCTAAAGCTACACCCCAACTCCTGGTTACTCAAGAAGCCTTTTGCTGTTCATCAGATTGCTTTTAAATAGTGCATCAAAGATAGAAGAAGCAGAAATTGGCAGAATTCAAACCTTGCCTTGAATAATCTCCTGACTACTTAATACTTTGCAAATTCTAGCTAAATACTAATACTGTTATTAAATTGTTACTGCTAAAATGATATGAATTGTACAACACACACCTATGAAAACTTTATTCATACTCTTCCAAATGTCTTACTGTAACAGAGAATAGTAACAGGATGTGCATTAGTGGAGCTGATGGGAATTGCCTGCTTCCTTACGTTCCAATTAACCACTCTTCTAAGGGCTTCCCATCACCCCCAGAGGAGGGAGGAGCTGGTGGGCACTTTGTTTCCCAGTTGGATAAATAATGCTCTGCTTAGGAAAATAAGGGCAACTGACCTTCCTGGCTCTCCTTTCTGAACCCAGGTTTAATCAAAGCAAGAGCTTGTCAGTGACTTTCAGCCTCTCCACTAAACCCCAGGTACAGGCTCTGCTCATCCACAGCCACGCTGTTGCTCCTGGCTTTGGACTGCTCCAGCATCCATTCCTACACTGCTGGGAAACACCAAATGGCAGCAGTACTGCTCCTTGTAGACACAGCACCCAACATCCTTCATGCTGCAACTTTAGATTAAATTATGCCTTTGCCATCTAGAAATGATTACTGAAACCAAACAGCTCATCAAGTTGCTTGTTATCTCTCACAAGCAGTTCTCTGGTTTGACTGGCTGAGTGACAGCAGCGTTGTACTGACTGGTTTCTTTTAAGACCTGAGATGAAGTTACAGTGGAAAGAGGTTGGCTCAAAGCATTGAGCACAATCATGTTTGATTAAAACTAATTGAGAACAGTTTCCTAAACTGACAAACAAGGGAAAAAATGCCACTAAAAGCACCAGAAAGATATGAAATCCCCTACACTGCACCTTTAGCCATAGGAAATAACTTTTTAAAAAAACTACAAAAAAGAGTTTTCTTCATATTTCACGTTTTATGTTACATGAAAAAAAAAAAAAGGTAAATTATGAGTCTGTACCTCAATCAGAGTCTGAGAACAGAGTAGCAGGAGCTTAGTTTGTCCATTCCTAAGTTACCTGGCAAAACCCTGTATGGCTTTTAGTCTTTTACCTGCAACAGTGGATGTAATTTTCTAATTCATCTCAATGCTTGCCTGAAATAAACAGAAAGCAGAACACAAAAAGAAACCCACACACCTTGACTTCAACAGCAACTTCCCCCCACTCTAAAAAAATTTGGCAGTTCTAAACCAAAACCTTTCTGTACATATTGCTCCTCAGACGTACCTCCGGCAGGTTCAGCTTTCTGTGTTGTTCAAGGCTGTTTCCTAACCCATGAACCAGCTGTTTGGCTTTCACTGGTGAATGTGAGTAGATACTTGTGTACAGGTGGTCGGGTGGCTGTGGCATTGCTCAGGGTGGCACCACCAGCAAATTTTATTGAGATTGAAACAACTACATTGGTTAATTCCTAGATCTATTTACACGTGGTTGGAGCTTTGCAGGGGACTGGAGTATAGTTCTGAAATGCCCACCTTTTTATTACGCTTTCTGATGATGCCAGTTTTATTTTGGGAATGTCTATTTTGGGAGTCTGAGGGGAGGAACAGGAGGGAGATGGTTACATTTTACAGCATTGATGAAGGTATGACTCTGCTATACAACTACTTTGTCTCTGCATCAAACCCCCGCTCTGACTGCAAGCGCCCTGACGAACCAGCCTCCACCACGGGGAGCGTCGCACCCACCACCTCCGGCTCCCGCAGCCCCGCGCAGGGAGGGACAGACTCAGGCCTTCTATATGGGGAGGCTCCCGAGCCAAGAGCAGCCTGTGAAACTTTGGTTTGAGCCTGGCTCCTCGTCGCCTCTTCCCGTTCCAGAGCTGGAAGTGTAAGAACTCAGCTCGTTTTCCCGAGGATTTGAACAGTTCATCTTCCAGCCCAGAGAAGATGGAGGATAAACCCTTCACCCTGTAGATGCTCTGCCCTGCAGTCCCCAAACGAAGAGGAGTGTTGTACTCCCTGGGATTGCTCTGTCCACAGCCCCACGACGTGCTGAGCTCTGGTGATTCATTCTCTGCTGTTAGGCCCTTGATCACATTTGCACTCTTTGGTATGCCAGGACTCAACACTTCAACTGGCAGCAGACATTTGGCACTCTGAGGTGAACTAGTTTCTGGTTTTGTCAGGTCTAAATAGCCTTGATCATCAAACAGGTTAACGCTGGACCCTATGCTTAAGCTAGTTCTGTCGGTGAAGGAATCCACTCGTCCATCATACCCTAGGTCTGCAGGTGCTGAGCACTGGTGCTGGGGCCACGGTCGTTTGCAGTCTCCATGGTTTTCCTTATCTTCCCCACTGTCTTCTTGTCCACCTTGAAAAGAGTTCTCTGTCATGTCTGACTCCTCACTGACGTTGACGGCTGCATTCATGTCCCTGAGAAATACCACAATGACAGTAATGTTGTCGCTGGAACCAGCATCCCGAGCGGATGCCACTAATTTATGTGCTACCATGCTGCTGTCACCATTATTCTCCTTTAGATGGTCAGCCACCACTTTGACTGCCTCATCAGGATTGACTGTGTCATAGAAGCCATCGCAGGCTAAAATGAGGTAGTCTTCAGAGCCATCGAGTACAGTGGAGGCAGAGTCTGCATCCCCACAGATGTATGGCTTGTGCTCAGCATCCCCTGGGGAAAAACACACAGACACACAAGACTCTGGGTTTGCAGCCACAGCATCTGGAAGCCCTTTTATTAACACCGTGCAGAGCCCTTGACTCTTACCCCAAGTTAAAGAAATTACTTGGAAATTATTCCCTCAAACTGCAGAGGAAAAAAAGTAGAGGTCATAACTCACAGGTCTATCTCCAGGTGTACTTCAAACTTAGATCACTAGAAAATTAAAGTTTTAATTAAAAAGAAAAGCAAGTCTGAAAAAGGAGTTAAAGCCCACTCTTACCAATAGCTCTGGAGACTGACAGGCTCCCATTCACCCTCCAGGCTCCAAACCAGACCACACAGCCACCAAGTGCCTCAATGCGCTTCTTCTCATCCTAGACAGCAAGGAACACAGGAGTTGGCTTCGTGCTGCCATCGCTCTTGGAAGGCTTCCATAAACATTGGGAGCTTCCACAAGCACAGCACTGGGGAGGCTGCAGGCCCCACCAGATGAGAACAAAGGACTAGCACCCAAATCCATACCAACTTCCAAACAAAGCAGGATAACTGGAAATGCGGTGCTGCTCCCAGAGACACTGAGAAGGCAACACTCAGTGTCCCAGCATCCCACATGCAGCTGATACCTGTCAGCTTCAGTGGTGAACACTGTCCAGTTGAATTTATAACGGACCATTCTCACCTCTCGATCTGGTTTGTGGGGTTTCATCAGCTCCACAGCCTGGCCTCTCCTCACGAGCATAACCTGGGAGTCCCCAAGCCAAGCCACATGCAGCATATTTCCCCGGATGAAGGTCACCACCCCGGTGGTTCCACAACGCAGGCTCTGGATAGGGTGAAAAAAAAAATGACCCCAGTTTTAAATAAGGCAAAAAGAACAATTTCAAAGCATTTTCCTGCTTAACTCAAGGACAGAAAGTGTTGCTATTCCTGGCAAGCAACAGGCAGTGCTCTCCTTGCTGCTTCAGCTGTTCACTAACAGCCCCTCAGAGCCACCTGGCTGAACACAAGTGATCAGTTTTGCCCTGTGACTGGAATTCCTTGCACTGGATTCCACTTCAGAAGCTGGGCTCTGCTGGTGAGTGGCTGTGCTACTGTTGTGGTTGGCTTCCTGGGCCTGTCTCCTATCCATCAATAGAAACACATACATGTTAATGACCTGAGAGGGAGGTTTATTTGTAAGCATCTTGAGTTCCCTGCACTTATCAGCCCTTGTGTATGTTTCTCCATTTATTCCTGCTTTCTGGAGCTATGAAAAATGCATGTTGTAGAGATGAGGAAGAAAAATACCACCCCAAGGACTAAACCTAGTTAGCATGTGAATGTAAGAATAGCAGCAGCATCCTCATCCTTCTAAATGAACTGGATGTTGTAGGAAGTGGAGGCTGACACCTCTATGGAACACAAAGAAGCCCACCAGTGGGCACCAGCTCTATGGATTGTGTGTGGCCAGCTCTGTGCTCCCCCCTGGCCTCTGCTCAGCACAGCACTCAGAGCACCCTGCTACCAAAACAGGATTTCCAGATCAATATTTTCAGTCAGTCACCTCTCTGGCTGCCTTCTGGACAAAGCGCTCATCGGTTACTCGGAAAGCTCGGCACAGGGCCTCTGCTGGGTCCTTACCAAAACAGGATTTCCAGATCAATATTTTCAGTCAGTCACCTCTCTGGCTGCCTTCTGGACAAAGCGCTCATCGGTTACTCGGAAAGCTCGGCACAGGGCCTCTGCTGGTCCCTGCTGAAACACCTCCTGATGGACCATGTTCACATGGAGATGGATGGAGGCATAGATGGCAGCATCCACTCCCCCGTGGCCATCAAACACTGCAAAATAAGCTTGTTCTTCTTGGTCCTGTCAATGGAAACACATTGAGAAAACAACTCAGGAGAAGGTGATGCAGACAGCTAATTGGATTGTCCTAAAACTTTTGATCTTGAGATTTGTGGTGTCCTCATTAACTGGCACTTAGAGGCGGAGTCTGCACAGGAAAAACAAGCTACTTGGATCATCTTCACTTGCACTGGTGGGAAATTTCCGCCTTATTGCTGATGAATTCTACACGCAAACTGCAAGAGATGCCCTGCAAAAATCACCCATGTAGAGCACTCAGTGCTCCTTATGTCCCATTTGTTACTGCTCAGTCACTCAGCTCAAATAGGAAGTGCCATTCTCATCAGATTGTGCAGGAGTTTTTGTGACTGCAAAAACCACAGAGACAGAAGAACATCTATGACAGTTTGCTTGAAGTCCACATAAAGACTCCAGCAGGGCTAAAATGCCAGTACAGTTAAAACACAAAGCCAGCCTCTGCTTGCATTCTTTGTTTTTGTTTTTTTTTAAATCTAATCCACTTCCCCTTTTAAAAAAAAACCAAACCTGTATGTACTCTCTCATCAGATAATTGTGATTATATTCACAAATCAAATACAGCAACATCACTCATCTTCAAGTCAGTGTTCTAAGCTTCCCCTTCTCTGTTCAAACACAGAAACAAAGCTGCACTGAGAGACACCAACTCCTGTGCCTATTCATACATGTAACACCAACCCACTGTCAGTGCCAATCCAACCCTGACAGCCAGCTCAATTACTACAATATTGGTGCATTGTAATTTTTAAGTAACGGGCTCCAACACACATTGGAATAAGAAAGCTGAAAATTGACAGACAAAGGAAACATCTCCCCACTGTTTGCATTAGTATCATCTAAAGGCAAGAAGGTGGAGGGGGCAGAAGATGGTTATTAAAGTGACAGGATGCAACAAAGACTCAACTATGCAACAATCTGATCTTAAAGGTAAGATTCTTGCCACTTTCTTGCATTTGCTGTTCTTCAGTGTCCAGTTCTGTATCTGTAGAAAGAGTAAGCATGAGTGTTTGGCCAATGGCTACATAAAGGAATTAATGTCTGGCCGCAGTTACACCAAACTACTCATGTTGCTGGATTCTTGTGTGAACTGCATCCCATTCTCCTGTCAGTTTTGTGTTTTGTGTTTGTTTTGCTGGGTTTTTTTCTCACTTTTCTTATTCTTGCTTTTGGCTTCTTCCTCCCAAGAGGAAGAGTTGAAAAGCGCTACAGACCCACCCCTGCAGACAACTGGTATCAGTGATGCACTGTAAGCTCTACAACTTCCTCCTTCCCCTTGCAGTCCTCTCCTACAGCCAAGCACCCTCAGCCAAAGAGGGGCCCCTGCCTTGGTGTATCCCATGGTACTACAGCACATCTGCTGCCTCTCACCAAAGCAGAGCTGCTCTCCGCACAGTGGCAGGTCAGTCCCTCAGCCACTGCATGAGTGGCTACCTCAGGGTGCAAACTTTGCTTAGTTAGATGACATTTCAGCAAAAATCTGGGAAAATTCCTCTTTTATTCTATATACCCTATGTAGAAAGTGCATGTTGTGCTGCAGCTGTGGTTAAAGAATATCACCTGAACTAACTTAAGACCAAGTTTGCTTCTTCGCTGCCAGTCCTCCCCAGGTCCCTCACAGCTATGGCTTTCATTTTTGCAGTAGAAGACAGCCTAGTTTCCCCAGGAATGGAAACTGTATTTAGCATTTGTCTTCCACACCATCTCTCTTTACCTCAAGGTTGAAGAGCATGTTGAAGTCTGGGATGCAGACGTGCTTGTCTTCCATCTTCCTGCGCATGTTCTTGATGGCGTGGATGGACGTCTCATAGTAGCGGTGGGGCTTGGGCTGGAGGGGAAAGTCCTTCACCCAGTTGCTGCAGATCTCATGGAGTTTGCTAAACACCAAGCGGGCTAACTTCACCGTCTCGATCTCTGGGGAAGGCAAAAAACCACAAATGAGAGGCTAAGAGTGTTATTAAGTGAGGTGTTGGTTTTTTTTCCTTGCATACATTACAAAGATGAAACAAACAGTTTTTGCCAAGCAGCTGAAATAGATCTCAGCAGGGAAATCCTGGGCTCTGATGGATAAAAAGAAGCCCAACTCACCATAATCAGCATTCATCAGTAAGCAGCTCATTGTTTGTTTGCATTTTTAACTTAAACATTTCTCATGCCTTTGGGGAACTCATTTGCAGCATCAGGAAAAATGAAAAGCAAGTTTCCCTCAGCATTTGATCCCCTAGTGGCGCAGCTGTGGCTCTGGTAGGGACTTTGTCATGGCATAAAGCATCATGTAGGAAAACCACGATCCATTACAATGACATTGGGTTTAGTCTAAACAATATTTCACACAACCCCTCCCTGCAGAACTGAGGCAATGCAGCCTGACTAAATCATCTACAGCAATTAACTGTTACTTTAAGATGTTCTGGCAGACCACACATTCAGTAGGGTACATACACATCCAGGTACCTTCCTAGTTTCTTAACATTATTTCTAGATCCCTGACTACACCCTGTGTCAAAGAAATCTGCATGAGCAAATGAGAAAACCATGAAGGTCTTAAATTTGAGAAAATGCTGAACTGTCACTCCTGGGACATAGTAATTTTAAAATGTGAAAACTCAGGGACTTGACAATTGTTCTGAAATTCAGGGAAGGAAAACAGGAAGGAAGGATCAGAGCTGAAGACATCAAAATCTCTTTGTTCATGATCGTTCCCCAAAGCCAGAGATCTTCAAAGCTAACCAGCAGCAATCCATGAGTGTCAGTCATTCCTGGAAGAGGAACAGCTCAAATACAGGGAGCAGAGGAGAGGGTTACAGCATCCCTTGGTTCACAGAAATTCTGTGAAGAACCTAAAAGCAGCATTTTTTCATTTCTGTACTAGGTCTACACCAGATACGGGCTATAATGATCAGGGGCCAAGATCCTTAGGAGCAAGATATATTCCCAGCTCTGCTGATTATGGGTTGGTTCAAGCTTGATCGGCAAGAGCAGCCATCAGGCTGGAAATCAGCTACATACCTAATCAAAAGAAGCAGCCTTGGCTTTTTGAGCACACAGCTTTAACAACAAGTGGTGGAAATCCAATGACAGGTCATCCCACCACTGCCATAGGAAGGGGTACCAGTTCCCTCACAACTCCTGTACTTCTCTAACCAGTGCCACCAGAAATGTCTTTGCTGGAAAATGCATTTAAAGAGGGAACATGTACAGCCTGACATGTCCAAGTGATATTTTCCAGAAGTGAACCACACAGACTTGCTCTTCCATTGTTTTCCAGTGGGGACATATGCCAGGAGATGGGGCACGTGGCTGCTCCACCTCAGAGCATCTCTCTGAAGGAGGGAGGGAGTGACCCCCCTGGCTGTGCTGAGCCACCAAATGCCCTCCCCAGCAGGGAGATGGAGAGGCAGCATCACCATTAGTTCTCTGGAGGTTAAAACAGTAGAAAGAACCACATCAGTCAAACCACCCCCTCACAGCTGTAAATTAGTCATCAATTGTTCAGGCTGCAGTGCCAGAGCTGACTCAGCTGCCATTGTGGTCGTGCCACAGAGAATTGCATTTCCCTCCTGCTGCTCCAAAATCCCCAGTGCTGGAAGCAGTGCTTATTGTACCACAGCTAGTGGGAAATCCAGCTCAGGTATTAAGTGTTCCCAAAGACAACTGACTTCTTTTAGGGTAAAATCAGGGTAGGCAGAACACCAGAAACCAGATTCTACCTAAGTTTTAAGACCTTTCCTGAAAATGCAGTGTGACAGCAGGGATCAGTGCCCATGTTTGCAGGTATCATCCAGCCAATGTCCAAGTCAAGAACTCCAGTTTCTGATGAGTCAATGACCTCTCTGTGTCTTGGCTACAGTTATCCCATCTCCTAGAAATAGTACCTGGAAAGACTGGCTAATGAGGCTTAGTGATTTGCCTTGTGGACTCTGCTGGATATTTTAGATACGTCCACCAGGTAACTGTCCAGTCTCCTTTGGTGGTTCCTTAACAATGCCAGACCCCCAGGTGACTTACCTTCCTCCACAAAAAAAGAAAACTAAACATTCTTAAGCTGACCTTTCAAAAAGGAAATCAAACATCTTTCAATCTTCACAGAAGCTCTCTTGCTCCTCTCCAGCACAACTGGAAGAGGAGAGTCAGTCATGGTCCATGACTCTCAGATTCTGTGCTTGATATCCAAAGACACCCCAAGTATACCAGGCCCATATTCACACATTCCTACATTTATGAACTCAAAACAGTTTTCCTTCTTTTAAGATTTGTATTCTTCTTTCATGAAGCTTGGAATTTCCTTTCCACCAGCACACCAGTAACTGCTTTTACCACTCCTAAGTATGCAATATGATTTGCCACATTGCAATTCTCAGAGTGAAATGTGTCACTAAGGAAATCTGGAATAATTTGATTATTTTTTTTTTTTTTTTTTTTAGCAAATTCACATTGAGGCAAATCAGGTAAATGTCTCCTTGTATAATTGAGTACAAATCTGGGTTCACAAAAAAAACTGACATAGAACTGGATATCAAAAGCAGCCAGCTAAATTCAGCTTGGTTTCACATTCTGCACCAGTCCAAACATCACTAGGACATACAGTGAGCTCTGAGCACAAACTTCAAGAGGTAGAAATCCCATTTTCACCACCTGATGTAGTTCCCTTTGTTTCCTTTCCAAGCATGAAAGTCTCCCTCTGTGGTACCAGTTTGGGCATTTAGAGTCACAGCTCTCTTCTAAGTAACCAGCCCAGGTTCCTCAAAGGATTCCTACTGAGAAAGTCAGCTAGAATGGAGCTGCTGACCTTTTGCAATGAAACCTCCTTCAGTCCTGCATGATTTCCCCTGGTTTTGTTGTGGTTTTCTTAGCCAGACCTTGCATCACTGCAGCTAATGCTCTATTTGGAAAATTATCATTTATGGTGTATTATTTGAAATGGCAGTATTCATAGTAAACCACTGCTCCCTATGGTCCAGATGATGTTCTCTCTCTTCTTCTCCCCCTTATCTTCATATTTTAACACTTCACATTACACCTGTAAAGGTACAGTTTATTTTCAAGTGCCTTCATTATGTCAATTCACCTCAACATACTGCATCTGGAGGTGTATTTTTAGAGCCTGCTATAGCCTGTACACACCCCAATCTATGTTTGCATCTGTGTATTACAGGTTTAGATACATTTAAATGGGGATTTCTGTAGGTGTAAGGATTTTATGGTGGGGGTTTTTTTGTCTTTTTTTTGTTGAACTCTTCAGATATTCTGTGTGGAAGCTTAGTCAACATTTCCTTGGAGACTGTCAAATATTTATGCAAGTCTCAGAGATCTCAATTTGAAATTAATGAAGGCTGCTCAGCCAGAACAATGACAAATCTATTCCATTTACCTGCTCAGCAGGAGGAGGCAGCAATACCTACACAAAGGGAACCCACAGCATGTATTTCTGATTCTCAGGTTTCCAAAGGCCTCTGAGAAATACAGCAGAACCTTCTTTTTTGAAGAGCCACATTTAGACATCATGCTCATCCTCAATATCATCTAGTTATTTTTTTTATCAAAAAAGGAGGGAATAGACACAGTGATTTGCTGACTGTATTTTCAAGATCAAATGACAGAATTCCTCTCAGTACATGTATGAAATGTTGTTCATTGTTGTAATGAGCACCCCCAAAAGTTGTTCAAGGTTGTTTAGCTCAGCAGAATCCAGAAACAATTCAGGGTGCATAGTTTTGAGCTGGATGCTGCAAAAATCCTGTTAGCAAACAGATAAACAGAGAAAAGGACACTTTCCTTTTAAGCATGAAATACCTTTATACTGTCCTTTGCTAAAACTATATAAAAAAATAAAAAGCCACAGTAAAAACCATAATAACTGAAATAATTCAGAATTAATTTTTTTTAAATTTTGCTCTAAGGATGAAGGAGGACAACTGGCACTTGCCACCAAGCAGCAGGACCACCAGATACAGTCTTATGAAGGTGCACTTAAAAGAGTGATTTCCACCTGGTCTAAAGGAGCAAAAATTTTATGAAGTCCAACTACAACCAGAGAAAGATGTTTAAAAATAAAGGAAGAGTTCAACAGTAAAAGTTGAAACTAGACAAGACTCAAAGGTGAGAGAGCTTTGACTAAAAAATGAGCCACTAGCTCTGTCAGGAGTGGTGGTAAATTCTCCATTGCTCTTTTTACATCCATGTGGGATATTCCTTTACAAGAAATCTAGTCCAGTTTTGTCTCACTCGCAGGGAGAAGGAACAAGTGCCATTCAAGTGGTCAGACTAGATGGATCACTGAAGTGATGCTGACTTTAAAAACCTCTGAATGATCTGCAAGGTGTTGCAGTACAGTGTGCATGACAGATCACACCCTGTGGAGCTGTACATGACCACGTGGCTGTACTCACGTATGATCCCGTCTGCGTTGTCCACGTGCTTTGGTAAGTAGTGTGCTGAAAGATCACTCTGCAGGACTTCATCTGAAGTTGCTCTAGCTAAAGCAGCAGCCAAAAATGAAGGGCAGTTACTGGAAAAGAAAAAACAAACAAACCAAAATAAACTCACAGAAAGTTATTTTAATCTGATTTAGCAAGGTAGTGCAGTCAGGGAAATACATAACAATACTTTTCTATAAACAAACAGGAATGTGAACCAAGATTTGTAAGACTTCTGATTTTTTTGCTAGACAGCACCACAGCCCTGCAGCAAGACCTCAAATTCACCATATGGATTTTAGTAACCCTGTTTCACTCATGTTCTATGTTTGAATGTTCCATTTTGCAGCCTCTATTTAAATGCTTCTCAATTCTAGACCTGACCCCACTACAGCATCTGCCATGAAACCCCTGCTTAGTGTACATTTTCTATGTGTGCATTCTCTTATCTGAAGCCCATTCTGCTCAGTTTCTCCTAAGACTTGGGAGTCAGGATTCCAAAAGATAAGTGTTCTCAGATAGGCAAGTGTCCAGAGCCTCACCAAGGGACACTGGAAGTTAAAGCAAACCCCTAGGAGATATGACATTGATGTGCATACGGTTAAAAAGCTCCCTTGTGAATGATGTATATCAAGAGGAAAGTGGCTTTATCTCACTGTAGCTTAATTAAGCCTGATATCTCCCAAGGTTAATTAATCTATAGCAAACCAAGGCCACTTTAAAGTACATTCTCTTATTCAAGAGGAGTTTAATGCCTCTTCATTTATGCATGACTTTTTATTTCCCATTGGTCTGCCTTAACTTCTTCAGGTGTCTCTTGCTGGCACAGCCTGAAACCTTCAGTTTCCATCATTATCCTGGGGTAACAATGTCCTCCAGAGGACATGTCCACAGCAGGACTGTGCAAAGACAGACAAGATAATTCAGTCTCAGAGACTGTCCATCAACAACAGATTTCTGGATCAGCTGGTCCAGCAAACAGGCAAAGACTACAGATACTTCCTTAACTTATTTCCTCTGCTTAGGCGCAGTAGGTCTGGTCACAAGCTTTCAGTGTGGTTGGAGATGTCAGCCTAGAAGCATCAGTCCAAACAGATCCAGAGCAGAAAAACAACACATGAAACCAGACTCATCAGACTTCATCCTGGAGCCTGAAAAGCTCATGGTGACCATCCCTTGCATTTGCATTTGGTTCACTGCCCAGGAAAGCCAACTGCCATCCTAAACCTGCCCATGTGCCAAAGCTTCAGTAGCAAGATCTGAATTCCAGAAACCAAATCAGATCTGCTACATTTGGAGTTTTTTGAAAAGCCATTTTACCATCATTTTTTCCAGACTATTGATCCCACAGGCTGCTGCTAACAGCAAGATTATCTAACAGGTTTAGAATACACAGACAAAATAAGCCCTTTGGCCCTCATTATTTTCTAGTCAACAGATCTATAAATTATTTAAAAAGAAGATTAGCAGTAAACAGCTTTGTCCAAGAGATGCTTTGACCCTTGAAGTTACACGGGATTCACTCGTCCGGCGTCCCTGCACTGTCCGTGTTTCCTAGAAGGAGCAGCCCCGCGTTCCGCTCCCGCAGCACCCGGAGGCTCAGCAGCCTGTGCTAGTGAAGCAGGACTGAGCAGATCAGCTGCCCCGGGACCGGCCCTTCCCTGCGCTGCACAGCGGCTCTGATCCTGTTTACGTCCTGCCATGCCCCGGGGTGAGGGCAATCAGCAAGAGGAAAACACACCGGGACCTCCTTTGCCTCTGGCGTGTGTGCAAACGGATTTTCTGTCTCGTCTCGTCCGCCTGTATTTAGCTCATCCCGAGCAGGTTTTGCAGCGCTATTCTTAGCGCCGATGCTCCCGAGCCCCGTCGCTGGATCCAGGCACGTTAGATGCAGTTTCTGTGCTACATCAAAAGCGAGAGACTGTGATGCCTGGGACAGAATCATCACGCCAGCAGTGAGCAACGCTGCCGGGACAGCGTTCTGAAAACACGCACGGAATGATGAAGGTTCAGCCGGAATAGTGCACAAAAGGATTTACAAACACGAGGCAGGCAGAGCTGGCTGTGGGCACCAAGGTGACAGGCTGTGCTAGCACCTCTAGGAGCCGGAGCTCGTTGCTCAGTCCAAGGCTTGCCCTCAGCACCCCAGTGCTGAAACTTTTTAAGGAAAACAAAAACTTGGTTTGTGTCACTTACAGCTCTCAGCAATGTCCACTAATAGGAGAAGAGGGAACCTGGGTAAAACCTGAGGCAACAACTGTTCCTAAAACAGAGACTCAGGACCTAAACAGCAGAAAAAAAAATACCCCCCTGACATGAGGAACCTCTGCACTGCCTGGGCTTGGCACGTGGGAACGGCATGTCTTTGAAGACCCCGAGTCACAAACATTAATATCTGAAATGTTAGATATTATTTTGACCGCAGCGACAGATGACAAAATTGAAAGGTGCATTTCCAGGGTGCGTAGCTGGTCAGGGTATTTCCCCAGTCAGCTCCAAGTGCTATTTACATGTCCCTACATGTAAACAATGCCGGCAGTTTCTCCCAGGAGCTCTTCATCTAACTAGAGTGCATTTCCATTACAATACCAAACCTACACAAAAAGGCGCTAAAGATGTTATTAGATAAATTAGAGGATTTTAAATACATCCCTCCTGATTCTCCAGCAGTGTGGGTGTGTTTAGAACACCCACAGTTGTGTTGCTGCAATCCCGGAATAACTCTGCTAAGGTAATAAATCAAGCCTAAAAGTGGGCTGTTTCCATGAACCTAAGTTTGAGAAAAACAGTCTGAAGTAGCTTAACTCAGCCCACATATTATTATGGTACCAGCTTAGCACACAACTCTGCTCCTTCCTGATAGCATTAAAGAGGTGAAGACTTTCCAGGCATTTTCTCTGAGCTATCCCTCTGTGCTCTAAATCTAATACAAGGTCTCCTACTAGAATAAGAGATGGCAAATTTTAAATTCTTATTGCATGAAAATTCACCCCTAGGCTTTGAGTGACATCAATTTTGATGGAAAAGGTAGAGAAAAGAAATCAGTGGAAGGTTTTCCTTCTATGTCTGGCCACTCTCTGTCCTAATAATAACAAGCTGCCTGCCAAAGAATTAATTGCCCTTGACATCTGTTCATCACAAAGCTCCTTATGTAGCTGTTACAGGACTGTGCTATGTAAGCAGGGATGTGACCAGTTGCAGACAGATGACTTTCTCCTCCTGATTAGCACTACTCAAAATTTACTTCTCTTCTTTGCCTCCTGAGAAGACTATAGTTGAATTAGTTCTCCCCTTCGAGGAACAGCAGACTGCACTGGAGGTTTTTCTTCCTCCTTTTAAAATAGATTAGATGTTGAAGTCAAACCACTACCAGGACACTTCATTACTGTTACACCAAGACAAATGAAGAACCAGGTCTAGGATCTTTGTTTTAATCACAAAGGTAAACATTGAGGGGAGCACCTGCAGCATCCCACAAAACAGCAAAGACCCAAAACTTGAGACTTTGCCACCCTGGTAGCCCTCACTTATCCTCACATAGAATCATAGAATGCTTTGGGTTGGAAGGGACACTAAAGACCATATGATTCCAATCCCCCTGCACGGGCAGGAACACCTTCTGCTGGATCAGGTTGCTCAGAGCCCCATCCAACCTGCACTCGAGCATCTTTAATGCAAAACAAGAAGCAGCAGACAGGCTGCACAGGGACATGGGAGGTGCACTGCATCCTGCTGCTGGCTTAACTAAGGATTACCTGTTGGCTGCTGAAAATTATTTATTCTGCCACATTCTAGATGCTCAAATGTTCTTAGTCATTAAGTTATGACAAACTGAAACTGGGAGGGCACGATCTTGTTTAGCAGAGAGCTGGGAGCTGGAATGCCTGCATCTATTCATAGCCATGCCACTAATTCAGCAGCTGACCTTGGACGAGTCATTTCACCTCTCAGACCTTCAGTTCTTCATCTACAAACAAAGGATGATAATGTCATTTCCTGGGGGAGAGGAGGAGAAGGAGGAAGGCTGAAGAAGTCTTAATTCAGTGTTCATAAAATACTCTGACATTTCTAGATAAGAGCACAACTGAAGGGAAAAATACCAAGATAGTGGAATATATTTTCAACTTAAACAAGATTTATGGAGCTTTCATACTTTTTTCCCACTCTGTATTCTCTATTCTCAGATGCTGCCAGAAGCCCTAAGTGGAATACAAGGGCAAACAGCAGCTCTAGACAGGCAGGTTTAGTCTAATGCAGGCAGCTGACTCAGGGTGGTAAACAACTGCACAACATAAACACATTTTTAGAAAAGCTGATACATCTCAAAGGGGGGAAACCACAAAAGAAAGACATCAAGTACTGCTGGTGCTCCTGGAGCATTAGCACTGCTAATGGGAAAATGATGCCACAGGCACATTACTGCCCCTGACCAAAACACAGTGCCACCAGTGCTGAAAGTACTTCAAGCTGTCATGGTCTAGTGTAACTGATGAGGCATCACTAACCCAAACAAAGCAGGAAAAATGGACCCAAACGTTCTGGTGCCTTTCAAAGGCCAAAACGGTCAGTAAATCACAAAACAGGCAGTGTTCCTGTTACCTCAAGAATCCCCTGACACTACAGAACAGCAATTGTTTTAGTTAGAATGAAACACGATTTAAATAGAAATGCTATTCAATCAGCTGAAACACAAAACAGCTCCACAGGTGAACAGTGCAAAGCATGGTATATAGTTTCACACAGCAATCCAAGACCAAGAACATGACCTGAAAAGAACCAAGTGCAGCACATTCCCATAAGGCCTATAATTTACTGTGTTAGTAAAAGACTTTGTAGGGATGACAAGCTAACTGCTTTCCAAAAGACATTAGACTAGGGATGCAGTTTGGTAAACACTCCTGTGTTTGGCCTATTGAAAGTTCATGATGGAAAGCAGGTTTTGCAAGATTCACTTTAAGAAAAACCTTATTTGTCCCCAGCCTGTATTTACAAAACACTCCAGAGTCTCATGAGACTTTTTCCAGATGGAGCTTCTGATGCAGCCTGGAAGCTCTTTGAAGAAGCCTTTAAAGTCTTTACTAATGAAAGTTCCCATGCTGTGAATGGCAGCAGTAATGAGCAGATAAATTCTTTGGGAAGATCCTTTGACTGTTTACCAATCCCTCCCTTCAGTCACCTCCTGTTGCAGCAGCCAGGCAGAAAGACAGGCACCAGCTGAGGGGCTTCTGTTTGTCTCCTAACTCCTCTAAGTCAGGCAGGACTCAGAGAGGAATACTCTGTTAAGCAGTTTTAGACCACAAAATGATTATGTATCTATCTTCTATTTATGCCGAGCAAATGCTATTTTCAGCTCCTGTCTCTGCAGGTTCTCCTCTTCTTATTCACAAAACATCCCTCTCTCCTGCAAGCTCACCCCTCTGCTCTGGCCTGTGCTGTTCTGCTGGGGAAAGTTTGGATGCTTATTTAAAAAGCCTGGTCATGGTGGACAAAGGGAGTATGGGTTGTTTGGTTTTTTTCATTTTCACACATGGTGAAACCCTGCATTAGATTTTAGCTGCTGCAGTGAGTTACTAAAAAAACACCCAGCATACACAGACAAAAAAAAGAAACAAACAGAAAAAACAATGCACCTTTTTAAAAGATTGCATAACTAAAGCTCCTTGAGAAGTCATTTGTGCTGGCAGTGTTGAGGCAGTAAAGATGCTTGATAAATCTGTTTGAAAGAGCTGAAAATGTGCTACAAGAGGAAGCTGCTATCTATAGGCTTCACAGAGACAGCTGCCTGCTCACATTCAAAATTATTCTGTCCTTGTGGTGACAGTTGTAAGCAACAGAAATATAATACACAACTGTTACCAAAAAAACCACTCTTTCTGATGTGTTTCCCATGCCCATGTTCTATGCAGACACTGTGGTGGTACCTGGAGGGGGCCAGGGCCATTCTCACCCACCCTGCCTCCAGTTTTCAGAAGACTGACAAGCATTCAGTTATCCTTCAGACTTCCATCCATCATTTGAATTTGATTGAAACTGGCCTGCAAGGTTAATCAGTGGGAGAAGCCCGAAGAGCAGGCCGAGTGAGCAAGCACACAGGCCATGTTGCCTCACAAACCCAACTTCAGAAATCAGCTTCTTGGAATGTTGCTACTAGAATTTCATCTGACCATGCAGGTCACTGAGGGAAACCCTTCACTTTAAACATACTATCTTCAACACATGAATTAGACTGAGACCTCTAATCCATTTTCTGCTGGGTAGCAAGTCACTGCTTCCTTCCTCTGGAGGGCTAAGTGCACATGGCAGCACATAAAGCTACAGAAATATAAACAAGCCAAAATAAAAAGGTCACCTTTGTCTCTTTGATGAGGTACAATGTCACAAAGGCTAGTGTGCGTTTAAAATATAAATGGTTGCTGACCACAAACCACTCATAAGTGTTTGTGATGTAATGACTGTCACTAAAAGAGGGTGGACAACAAAGGGGTGAGTTGTGAAGAATCCAAACTCCATAAAACAGCTTCTTCAGAGCCTTTCTGTTGAATAGATTGTCTGTATATTCACTTTGAAACCTAATTGTATGATTTCTCTAACTCATTCTCACAATATGGCAGTTCTGAGGTTACTTATATTTCAATCTCTGTAGAGCTGATGATACCTGTATTAAAGGCTGCTTGTAAAATGAATGAAGTCGTTCACTGGAATGTGAACAACCCTTAAAAACATAAAATGAATCTTCCAGGAGCCGAAAGCCAAATTACTGCAAGAAATTGAATTCCCAGAAGTGACTGTATGATGGTTTTCTTCATTACATCAAAGAACTGAAGACACAAAGTTTGCTGTTGAAAATCATATTCCAAGACTAGAGTCCTTCACAGCTATGTGACATCCATCTGTTACTAAAAGGTAAACCTAGACTTTGAGGGAATGCAAAGAGAAACCATTTTA